TTAAGAGAGATGGAGTTTGGGAGATTCAGGGACTTGAACGCTCATGGTCAGATGAGATGACTGGGGAGACAAGGGAACAGGAGAGAAGCTATACACCCATCTGGGAGGTGCCCTCCTGTAAGGGACAGGAGGGACCAGAGGCCAGCCAAGGTAGCAGAGGATGATCAGATCATCAGGTGGTAGAAAACAAAGACTGGACAAGAACTCTCTGGTCCCTAAGTAGAGAAGAAAGTTCTCAATGGAAGAGGTATGTCAGGGAGGGGTTAGGCAAGTGTTTTCAATCTCCATCCAGGGGTCGATATTCCAATAGCTCTTCTCATTCTTGATATTGTCAAAATCCAGGCAAATTATTTGTTTAACATTCTTGCTTTGAAGTTTCTGTTCTGTATTAGTCAGCTTTTCATTACTCTAATAAAATACCAGACGCAGACTATTCTATGAAGAAAAGAGTTTTATTTAATTTAGAGTTTTGGAAGCTGAAATCTAAACAGCATGCCCAGGTTTGGTCAAGGGCCCCCTTTGGCTGTATCACTTCATGGCAGGAACAAATATATAGTTCTGTGTCTTTGTGTTCTCTTCCTCACCTTATTAAGCCACCACAATTCAATCCTGGGGGCTCTACCATAATGACCTAACCTCATCTAACCACTTCCCAAAAGTCCTGTCTCTAAACACCACAGTCAGATTAAATTTCCATTCCAAAGGGCGAAAAAAGACTTTGGAGATTAAACTCTTGTGAATTTGGGGGGACAAATTATAGCTTCTTTACTCTTTTATTGTGCTTTATTCTGCTGAGTGGAAAAGACATGACAGGAAGGTTAAAACTTCAAAAATGATATGCCAAAAGCCCACAGAACTTCCTTATCTCCTTATCTCTAACCACAGACTGCCACTACTTCCTTACTGATAAGAGAGGAGATCTGAATTCCATGGTCACCAAGTTGATGCTGTGAGATTCAGAATGAAGAAACTCTCATTACTATATATATACACATATATTGTGGCCCCCCCCCCCCGCACACAAAAAGACCCCTCGCACACACGGCTAGAAAAACACAAAAAACAGTGCCACAACAAAAGAGAGGCACAACAAATTGGCCTCTTCAAAGTATTAATTCAGTGACATCCAAACTTGGAAGGCTGCGGGGTTCAGTGCTCAAATTCCAGAGGCGACAGTGATGTGGTGGTTCGCGAAGTGGAGAGCTGACTACCATAACTGTGTGAGCCCCAACAGAACCACCCTGACAGCCATCACTTGCAACAGGAAGAACTGGCTGGTCCTGGGTCCTTGGGAAACTGAGGTGCGTGGTGGAAACACCGTCCCTGTCCAGTGCAGAGCTTACCCTGCAACCAGGGTCAGCTGCAGGGTGGGGAGCTGGTGCCGCAAGCCCCCACCTGAATGGAGGTTGGAGTAAGGCTCTCCAGGAGATCTTTCTAGAGAAGTGGATTTTCAAGATGAGATTCGAAGTGCAAGGCTGAGCCTGGCAAAGAGCAAGGAGACGTGTGTCCAGGAGGTAAACTCTTTGGAGACGTTTCAGGTGGAGATAATTACAGGCGTGAAAACCCAGGATCCGCTTCATTCAAAGCCCAGAAGGGGTCCGATAGCGGTGGACTGCAGGTTTGGGCAGGAGGGTTGCAGGCAGGGCCAGGTAGGCCAGGTGAAGGAGTCTTGGAATTTTCTGGATGCAGAGCTACTGCAAGCAGCAGGTGTCATGAACAGGGACACCTTGAACAAGGATAGCTTTAGACAGATGCCTGGTTCCTGGTGGCTTGCAGGGTGGACGGTGAAGGGAGGGCAGCAAGAAGACCAGATGGGAGAAAAGGACAGAATCACAGGCGGCATGGAGGGGCCTGGACCAAGGTCCTAAAAGCACGTGCTGGAGGGACCCTCAGGTAGAATTTCGCGGGATTGGCTGTGGGGCAAGAGGGAGCCAAGAGCTGGGTGGGCTGAGAGGCGGGACCCGTGAGGGCCAGGTTCCCTTCTCTCTCCATCTCTGTTTTTGCCTGCTTGCTCCTCCCTGCCCCCTCCCTCCTTCCTTCATTGACCCAGAGAAACCACAAAGAGGTGATGCCCTTGGACAGCATGGCTCCCCCCCTCCTGCCCCCTGCCAGGGCCCTTCCTCTCCCTCCTGCCCAGTTCTATTTCCATGACCTTCCCCGACTTCAGCCAACCCATCTATAACTTCCTCAGCTCACAGTTCACTCCGTCACCTCTGCAACTTTCCTTTACGAGTCTTATGCTGAAGGAAACAGAAATTGAGGTACGCAGAAGCTTCCCAGGCCTCTGGGGGGGGATGTCTTTGTTTGTGGACTCTCTTATGTAAATGTGCCTGGGAATCGGGGAGCCCTGATCTCAGGTATATAAAATAAACCGACTGAACCAATGGATACCATGTGTTTGCAGTGTTTTCACTTCTCCTTGCTGAAGCCCTCTTGACTGGGGGATATTTCTTTTCTGCCTCTGGTATGTTCTCCGCCCTGCTGTGGGAAGCAGCCATGCAGGCAGGAAGCCCTGTAGCTAGCCTTCCACAACACCTCCCTCTCTCGGTCATCCAGGTTCAAGGCTTCCAATCATAGTAACAATGGCAAGAATTATTCTTGTTGTAGTCAACTCATTATCTATCATTCTGGGAGGAGCATCAAAATAGGATTGGGAAAACAAAGTGGTATAAACAGGACCAGGTCCAGGGACCATGTATCAAACCTACACTTGTACAGCCCAAAGACCCACATCTCCTTCAAGTTTTAAAATTGTGATAAAATACACATAGCATAATACTTACCACTTTCACCACTTTGAAGTAAAGGGTCAGTGGCTTTCCATCACCACCATCCATCTAGGACTCTTTTTTCTTCCCAAGCTGAAACTCGGAACCGTTTTTTACAACAGTCCCAATGCCTCATGATCACCATCCCACCCTCTGTCTCGATGAACTTGACACTGTTGCTTCTTCATCTAACTGGAATTATACAGCAGGTGCCCTTTGTGATTGGCTTATTTCACTTCTCATAATGTCCTCAAGGTTCACCCATGTTGTAGCATAAGTTTGCGTTCTTTCTGTTTTAATGGGTGCATGGATGCCACATTTTAATTATCCATCCATCCACCAATGGATGCATGAGATGGTTCCACCTTTTGGCTACCGTGAATAATGCTGCTAATGAATGCACACGTATTTCTTTGAATCCCTCCCTTGGGTATATACCCAGAGGTGAAATTACAAGATCATATGATTATTCTAGTTTAATTTTGGGGGGAATGGACATATAGTATTCCATAGCAGGTGCGCCATTTTACATTGTCGTCAACAATGCAAGGAGGATTCAATTTCTCCCCATCCTCACTACTTATTGTTTTTTCTTTATACTGATTATCCTAATGCAGGTAAGTGAGGTGGCTTCTTGCTGTAGTTTTGATTTAGTCATCAAAATTTATTAGTGGTGTTGGCCATCACTCCATGGGTTTGCTAGCCATTTGTATGTCTCCTCTGAAGAATTCTGTCAAGTCCTTCATCTGTTTTCAATTGGGCCGTTTAAGGTTTTTTTTTGTTGAGTTATATGACTTATTTATACATTCTGAATATTAGTCCCTTATTAGATGTATGATTTGCAAACATCATTTCCCTTCCCATGGGTACCCTTTACATGCTGTTGATTGTATCTTTTGATGCACAAAGATGAGTCCCGAGTTTTACACCCCAAATGCCTCCTTGGCTTCACTCTACTCCTGGACCTGAATGTTAGCCCTTGTCTCTTTCCTGAGACATTTAACGAAGAATTTGAAATGACAGAGATCACACCTGAGCTTCTGCAAGTTTAATTAACCTCAAGACTTCATTTTCCTCTCTTAACTCTTTTGACAACCCAGCACAGTCACAATTGAGTGCTGATTCTGAAGCAGAACCTGGCTTATCTCAATGGATATAAGAGATCAGCAGACTCGAAGAAGAGTTGCTGAGAAGATTCTCACGGTGCCACCCCTCTGGGGAGACAGAAGCTGGGAACTCTTGTCCAGGAACACAGTGGGTCAGGCACTGTTCTAGGTAGCTTCCTTAGAACACATGCATGCAGTTAACATGTGTCACCTTCCTCCTTCTTAAGGTGTGTGCTGCTCCAGTCCCCACTGTACACCACAAAGGTTGAATAAAATACTGCAGGTAACATAGCTGATAGACGGCAGAGTTGGGATTTGAATCCCAGAAACCTGGTTCCAGATTCTGTACTCTTAACCAATTACAAACTGTGGCTGATGCGACGTCTTCCTCGTATTTAATTTTTAAAGTTATTTCAGACTTTGGCATCTTCCAGTGAAGCATCTTGGTTTCCAGCAAACCACATTCTTAGGCTTCGCTTAGATATCACGGCTTCTCTCCTAGCATTTCTTCTCCTTCTCTTGGCTTTCGGAAATGACTTACAGTCAATCTCTCAGGAGCCAGATCTGGGCCTTCCTGTGAACCCATCCATTGCTACTTAGCACTCTATCCATAATTACATCTTGAGCTAAAATCGGAGCCAACAATTAAACCCAGGCCTACTGTATCAGGGCAATAGAGCTCCATCTCTCCATCTCTGTTCCTCCTAGTCCTAAAGGACTTGGAGAGCTCCTGGGAAGCTCTTTCTTACTCTTAGGTACTAAAACAAAAACAACAAAAAAAATCCTTCACTTCTTTGGCGAGAGCCAGCAAATGGCGCCATCTTAGCAGGTCCCTGGTCTCAGCAAACCTTCAGTCTCAGAGGGGGAATAATTTACTCTCCTTCACAAACGATTTGTTTCCCTTATTCTTTCACCAAGATTTGATTTTAATGGATTAGGAAGGAAAGGCCCACTCTTGTTAAGTCAAGTTGATTTACCAAGAGAAGACTCACTTCCAGAGAGCTGTGGCAATCTGTGGACAGACGCTCCTTGTGCTTGCTTTTGTCCAGCTCTGCACTGACGGTGGGGACAAAGTGGCCAGTCTGTCTGTCTTTTCCTAATGCTTGTCACTTGCTGCGTTCTACAGGGTCCTGTGGATCTACGCCGAGACTGGCCGGTGGGTGTACCCTGTGCTTGGAAAACTCAGCCCGCTGGGCCTCATGGTCTTCTTCTCCTCCAGCTACTTCCTGAGTGTCAGCATCTACCTGTTTGGAGAAAAGATCAACTGCTGGAAATGGGGTCAGTGTATTTCTCTCTTGTGTACAAAGATATTTCTTTCTTACCCTTTCCTCCACTCTTTCTGGAAATGGAACGAAAAACTACTCCAACCCAGAAGGCAGTGGTGTTTGAAGATGTTTAGCCAAAGGACTGGGAGAAGTCCTACCAAAGTAGGCCAAGGCATGGCCTGGGACAAGCTGGCATTCCCAAGGACTCCATCAAATCATCTCCCTCCTCCCCAGACAGCATCTTATTTAACTTGAAAGGCACATCTTATTTAGAAAGCTCAGGACTCAGAGAACAAGATATTATTGTTCTAGAAATGACAAAAAAAAATGGTAGCAGAATCTCCTAGTACCTAAGCCAGGAGGACAAAAGCTGTTAGGACAAGGACATGATTTCCTTTTTGAAGGAAATGAGCTCAGGTGACCCTCTTAGCTAGTCCAATCTCAGCAGTGCATTCCCAGGTGAGTTTTTATCCCTCTTTTATTAGGTTGCTTCTCAAGCTTAAAAAAGCATTTACTAAATAGAATCACAGGCTCTACTTGACACTGGAATTCTCATTTAGACAGGGTCCTGGGCGGTGGGAATACGTGAGCAAGCCAAGCTTTCTAATTCCAGGCAGGTAGAACCAGATAGGTTCTTCATAGAATAATCCTCAGTTAATTTTGGAAGGGAAGATTTTATTCTCCTCTTTGTTTCCCACTCTGCACCTCACCTCTAGAACATGCTTTTGCTGGAAAAGTAACCACAGGTACTAGAAACTCAGGTTGCAAAATGTGACTTTTGTCTCCTGCTCCAGGAGATGTCCAGGAACTCTGCCCTCGTTGTGTATTTGAAAGAAGGCAGAGAGTTAGCTGCAGTCCCCCATCCATACCACTAGCTCACTGCCACCCAAATAGAGATGGCATCTTCTGCCTTTGCCTGAATCGGTGTGACCCCTAAGCTGCTGTGTGCAAAATGTCCCCAGTTTAGAAGGCTTGGCACCACAGTGTGTATTTCTGAGGACAGGCTGAAACCCTGGAGAAATAAGCAAGCAACCTGGACTTAGGATGTGTTTTCTACTCTTGGAGTATTTGGTTAAGATCTAAGGCAATGCCCTATATGAAAGCAAACACTTAAAAATAAAATACTAAAGATTATAGTTCCCGAAGCAAGATTCCATATTGTAGAAAATTATCCAGAAAAAAAAAAAGATATCTTGACATTTCAAATGCATTGACAGCTAATTCTGACTATTTGTGGCTCTTTGGAGTTCTGAGTAAAGATTTTCTGATGCCCTCCACAAATCTATACTTAAAAAAGAAAGAAAGAAAAATTCCATTTGAAATTTGGCAGATGTAAGAAGTGCAGGAAAAAAAATGGGAATACTTAGAGAACAACAACTTTTTCAATCAATTGTATGGAGTTCAATAATGATTAATTCTTAAATTGTTACCCCACAATGAATTTTAAACATCCATTGAATTAAAAATAAAATTTCACTATTATTTATTTCTTGAAATCACTACTTTCAACACAAATCTCTTCTTTTTTTTTCTTAAATTTTTTTTTAGTTGTAGATGGAAACAGTATCTTTAATTATTTATTTTTATGTGGTGCTGAGGATTGAACCCAGAGCCTCACACAGTGGAGGCAGGCACTCTACCACCAAGCTACAGCCCCAGCCCCACAAAGCTCTTCCTAACATGCCCTATTGTTTAGGGGCTATATTCCAATTTTCCACTACGACTAAGTCAATATAGGGACCCTCACATGCTTGTGTAAATGCAGATGGTCACACGAGTGATAGGACTGTACGTCTCTTCTCTTTTGATATGTTTATCTCCTTATGAAAATAATGGATGGCCAGGCATGTAATCCCAGTGACTCTGGAGGCTGGAGCAGGAGGATCACGAGTTCAAGGCCAGCCGTGGCAACTTAGTGAGACCCTGTTTTAAAATAAAAAGGGCTGGGGATGGAACTCAGTGGTAGAGAACCTCTGGGTTCAACCCCCACATCCTGCAAAAAATTTAAAAATAAATAAATAAATTTAAAAAGAAGAGGAGAATGGGTGAAAAGTTATAGATAGCATCAAAATTGAATCATAAATGTGTTAAATACCAAACAGATCTTTATTAATTGCAAGTAATTAAACAACAATTAAAAGAGAAACCGAACCCCTCAAAATTGCAATGGCAGCGAATGCTTTTAAATTGCTGAAAACCAAGTAGAGTGGTCTGCTGATCCACGTGGACACGGAGATCAACCCCCTGTCCTCCTCTGCCCACCACACTTTAATCTCCCATTTACAGAAGCAAGGCCAGCCTTTGGGACGTGCGACACACCAGGGTCTCCGTGACCCAGTCCCCGTCTCGTGTTCTCTCACCTTCTTCTCTCCCCCGCCCCCTCGCAGCATCAGTTTACTTATGTTACTTGCCTGTTGTAGCTTCTGCCCTCCGTGGGCTTCTTTCTCCTACCCCCAGTCTTTTCCCAGGTCTCACCTCCTCATTCACTTCACCTCACCTCTTCCGGGAAGCCTTCCCTGCTGTGCCCAGGCTGGACCTGACGTCCTTCCCACATGCTCCACGGCTCCCCTGTACCTCCCAATGCCAGACTTACATTGTACTGCTGCTGTTTTGTGTTTTCCTTTGTTTGTTTGTTTGTTTTGACCTGTGCCTCAGGGTTTTGTTTTTACATGGACCTGGGGTTTCTGAAGGATGAGGAGCTTGTGTTGTCCACACCTTAAGCTTTCCCAGTCTCCAATCAGAGCGGTGGTGGGATTTCCCAGGTCCTCCTCTCCAGGCCTGAAATGGGGCGTTTTGCAGAGGTGTTCCAGCGACAGCAGACAAGGGGTGACTCCACTAGTTGTAGGTGAGGGCACTGGACCAGGAGGCTCAGGGGAGTGGGAGTGGTGATAGGGGCTTCCGCTTGCAGAGCTGTTGAAGAAGAGGTGCAGGTGAGGGCAGGCAACGCAGACCAAGGGAGACCCTGGAAAAGGGGATGGAGACAGCCGGGGTGTGTCCCTCACCTGGCCTCAGACCCCCCGAGGGAACGCACTTCAACTCTTCCAAGGCAGGCGGACATCTCGGCAGGGTGGCCAAGAGGCCCGTTTGTCTGGGCTGGTCCTAGTTCCGCCGGCTGTGCCAGTGTCCTTACTGACGTCTGGATGGTCTTAGGCCCAACGATCCATCATCTGTCCCTTGACTGGGGGTCCCTCTCCACATCTCCTGTTCTGGATTTATGACAACATAGAGGTGGTCACCTTGTCTGTCCAAATCCAAACTGGAATTCTCTGCTCTCATCCTTCCGCAGTCGGAGCTCTTTGTGAGAGCAGCAAGTCAAAGAAGACTCTCTGTGAGACAGTGGGGGGACAGCGGCTGGGAGATAAGCTCTGGGGTCTGGCTGCCTGGGTTCCATGTCACCAAGACTCTAGGCAAGGCACTCAAAGTGTCTGGGTGCCAATTTTCTCCTTTCACAGTTGAGATAACACTTACACCCCTCTTCTAAGATCCTGCAGGTCCTTAGATAGACTGTCTGAGTATCAAAAGACTTACCTACAAGCAAGAGTTGTCCCCATCGCTGTTAGTCTCAATCTCCCACCAAAATCACCATCTTTCTCCTCTGTGTGGGTATTCCCAGTTTTCCCCTCCACTTTATGCATAAATTACCAGTTTCCCAGCTGAAGGTGATTTTAAGTGACAGTCACTAATTACCTGCAAATGGATAGAGATGGTGCATGGATTCAAGAACTTAGTGTGAAAGGGGTCATGTCGAATGAAGCTAGAATTCATAGGAATCTCTTTCTCTGAAATTCTGAGTGTGTGACCTGGCTAGGTGCCACCAACCAGCATCAAGTGGTCAAGGATACCAGGCAAAGTATCAGCTGTGACCAGTTAAATGGGCCAGGTATCTCTGTGACAGTAGTTCTCGACCTTAGCCTCACATCATAGAAACACTAGAGATGTCTTAAAAATATTAAGTCTCAAGCCCACTTCAGACCAATTACGTCCACATCTCTGGAGATATGGGGATTTAACAGGGGGGTTATTTAAAGCTTCTCAGTTATTTTAATTTGCAGTCAGGGTCAAGAGTCACTGTTACGAAGCGGTGTTTCTCAAACCAGTATGTGCCTCTGGATAGTGTTAAAACGAAGATCTTGGAAAATCTGGAGATCTTTACAGAATAGGTTCTCATTCAGCAGACCTTGGATACAGATGGGATTCTGCCCTTTGAAAGCGTGTCCCAGAGATACCATTGCTGGTCTGAGGATAAGTCTCTATAAAACTAGGACCCTGGAGGCCTCCCAAGGGAGATAATTATGTCAGGGCCACTGTTGCTAAACATCTGCTCGCCTCCTCCCCACTCGTTTATAATGTCAGTGGGTGAGTGGGAAGAGAGCAAGGAGGACAGTTACAAGAAAATGATACCAAGAATTCAATGGAAACTTGGCAAGCGTAGGAAGTCTTCCCGGGGCCAACAGTAGCAGGGTCTGGCCCTGCGTGCCAGGGATACAAATGCTATTTGCACTGCAGTCATTACTAAGATAACCCACCCACCTAGAAAGATTCCGTTTCTACTTTTGGAGCATAGAATTGATTTCAAACAATGATAGAAAACAGACAGGGGAAGCAGTCTTGGCAGATCACTGTGAGATTGGCCTGTGCTGTCTGACCATCTAGACGGGCCCCAGGCAGATTCTCCTCCTACCTGACCCAGGCAAGGGTCACACCCCCTCTTCCTTAGGGCCACTAGGCAGGGATCAAGCTATCCTTTTTCAGGTCCCAAGACCATGGATGCTTTTTCTCCTAAAGAAAATCATAAATTGATACACTGAAAATTACAGTCTAGCCAAGTGACTTCGTGATGGTACTGGAAAAGAATTAAGATTTTCCTAAAACATAATAAAACAACAATAAAATAAAACAACAAAAACTTACCTTCAGAAGCTTTTGTAGTTGTAGATTCGTAGCTGTAAATCTTTGAGAACCCTGTTTTTATTTATCCTAGGTTCTGCCTATTGAGTAATACAGTATAATTATACATGATACCTATAGCAATATTGATTAAAGCATGGTTTCTTGGACACACCAGAAGATGAACATTGAATCTTTGGCCTAAAATCTCTCTAGCCCTTAGCACATCTGATGGAGGATAAAGAAAGAACTATAAAGTCGGGGATGGATCTAATCCATCGCCTCCAACTAGCAGACTTTGTACTGGGAAAAAATTCTCTTCAATCAAGAAATGTTATAACAAATAATATTATTTCCCAGAGATTGGAATCCATTTTATGAACTCTGTTTTACTTAGATACATGACCTATTACTAAGTAAACAGTTCCCATGTACCATAGAAACAGAGAGAG